CATGCCTCCACCTTCAGCCTCAATGCCTTCCACCTCGGCTTTGAAGCCGGTAGCGATGCCCACTACTCCACTGACTGTGATGCGAGTCTCCCAAACACTGGCAAGCCTCAACAACTAGATGCAGATAGATACTGTAAAGATGTCTGACATATCCAGTCATGTTGCAGCACAGTTATCCATTCCGGCACCCTAGATTCTCCCCACAATTGAAGAAACCTTGAAAAAGCTTTTGGAAAATCAAAACACAATAATGGCCACTCTAGTGCAGCATGGGTCAGTGATAGAAGAGCTGGTAAAGGAGGTGAAGAAGATGCGGAAGTCCCAAGCCTCCAAGAAGTCAGTGGACAAGCTCCAGCGATAGGTTACCAAGATTGCAGCAGCCGGAGACATTCCATTTGATATGTTGATAGACTCGCACCACCCAGGCCCAGATTCTATAGCACCTACAGCACCAGTTAGCCAGTCTGAGGAGCCAGACAATGTTGCTGACACTGCCGAGGCAGTACGTCAGATGTTCACCAACCCAGCCACTCACGTACTTGAGGATGATGAGATTCAATTGGATGAGGATGAGGTCGGTGCCACTGCTGGGGACATAGAGATGGCCACAGTGCCNCTGTAATTAACTTATTACAATTTTCTTCTTCTTTCTCATTATGTATATATTCTCTCTTATCTCTCATTATGTATATTCATTATGGTTTCAATAGTTTCTTGCTTTATAGCTTCTATATCATTATGTTTGTTTTTCTTTTGAATTAGTAGCTTCTTTTTATGTTTTAGTGGTTAATAAGCCTTTGGTTTTCTTAATACCACGGTTCTTTCCAAAGGTTATTTTTGTGTGAACCGGATGACTCTTCCCAACGATGGATGGCGTGACAATCTTCTTAAGGGACTAAGTCTATTTTGGTGTTTAGGTAATAATAGTAGTAGTACTGAATAAAAATACCTAATTGAGTCATGCTCGAAGAGTCAAACATGCTTCACTTGGTACCAATACATTTTACTACGTGCTTATGGTAAAAAACAAGGTATTTGGAAAGATATATCTCTAGTTAGTGACCTTGTGACACTTGTGTTGACTTAGGCAATCATCGAGTGGTTTAATCGATCCATAGTGATTTTCAATCTTGAATATGGTCGTTATGGGCCCTCGTCTATATCCTCTTTAACAATCCAGCTGCGTGAGAGGTGAGATGTTTGTGTTTTAAGTCTAAGTACCCATGCGAATGGTGTAGAACTTGCCCCGAATGTGTTTCTAGGAAACATTTTAAGTTTTGCTTTGTTTGAGAAGTGATTGTAGGTTCTCCTTGGCCTGCTTGAAGTTTTCCATTGCCCACCAATGTTGTTATCCCTAGTCAACCCATTTGAGCCTAAAACCCTTCTCATTTGATAACCATGTTACAAGTCTTTACCCATTTTGTCGTGACCCTCTCTTGGCACCCGAGCTTTCCTTAACACTCTTGTGAAACAATTGGCTAAAAACATAATTTTGGGGGAGAGATGAGTACCTTGAAAGAGGTATCAAGGAACAAAAAGAAAAGAAATGATGAGAAGGAAAGGCAAGAAAAGGAAAGAACAAAAAGAAAAATGTAAAAAGAAAGTGAATAAGTTGAAGAGTTGATGGGATTCAAAGAAAAGTAATGATGCAAAGTATGGAGAAATCAAAATAGGGAGGAAATGAATATCATGATCAAGAAAGAGTGATGTTAAGTCTCTCTAGTTCCCCCAAGGAAAAGAAAATGCCTCAAAGAGTTGGCAAAGCATGAGCCTAGAAAAGAAATGGAGTGCTTAAGGAAACATAAACCTGTTCTATCATAGCATATCCAACCTTAATCCAAAAGCCTTCATTGCATTCCGAAAAATCCCTACGTGATTACAAGTCGAGTGAGCTTACATTAGTGGTGATCTACATGAGGGGCAAGCCTATGGTACTTAAAGTCGTACTTGCGACATTCTTTTGAGAGAAATGAGTGAACCTTTCGCAAATATTTGGATTGAGTGCTAACTTCTTAAGCAAGATAGGAAAATGGAGAGTAGAGGAGAAGGAGTTTGGGATCCACAATGACCTACATGAAAGAGCGAGCTTCCTTGATGAATAAAATCAACTCTTGATGCTCAAGTGTCATATTAGAACTATTTGTGCATGAACATTTAACTTGTTGCCTTGTTGATATTCATAAGTGGTGTGGGTATTTGTTGGTCTCAATTGATGTGTGAATGACTCACTTTTGATTAGCTGGAATGGCTCTTAACTTGGGGAGGTGAGAACTATTTTATTTGATTAAGGACAAGCAAAAACTTATTTTTGGGGGAGTGGTCAGCCACTTGATTTTATGTGTCCTTCCTGTCCTTGATTTCTAGATCAAATTCTTGTAGCAACAATACCCACTGCATCAGACGCGATTTGGACTCTCTCTTACTCAGCAAATACTTCAGTGTTGAGTGATCAGTATGCAATATTACCTTGTTTCCCACCAAATAGGATCTGAACTTGCCAAAAGAAAAATACTACTGCAAAGAACTCCTTCTATGTGGTAGCATAGTTCACCTGAGCATCGTTAAAGGTCCGCCTTGCATAGTAGATGGGTCAAAATAGTTTATCTCTCCTCTGCCCCAGCGCTGCTCCTACTGCCACATCACTGGCGTCGTGCATTATCTCAAAAGGCTCACTCTAGTTAGGAGTCACCATTATGGGGGCACTCACTAGATTTTCCTTGATCAGTTCGAATGCTCTGAGACACTCCACATCAAATACAAATTTCACATCCTTGGCAAGTAATGCAGTTAAGGGCTTGGTAATGCTGGAAAAGTTCTTAATGAACCTTCTATAGAAATCGGCATGCCCCAAAAAACATCTAATGCTCTTCACTGAGGTCGGTGGTGGGAGCTTAGCTATCATATCTACTTTAGCTCTGTCGACTTCAATACCTTCATCTGTGACTTTATGGCCCGAAACTATCCCCTCCTTAACCATGAAGTGGCACTTTTCCCAATTGAGTAATAGGTGAATGTCCTCACATCGTTTCAGAACAAGTTCGAGGTCCCTTAAGCAGCCTTCAAAATCATCTCCAAATAGAGTAAAGTTGTCCATGAACACCTCCAAAAATTTCAAATTTAAATCTGAAAATATTGACATCATGCATCTCTGGAAAGTAGTTGGTGCATTGCATAGTTCGAAAGGCATTCTCTGGTATGCAAAATTTCCGGACGGGCATGTAAAGGTGGTTTTCTCAACATCTTCGGGAGTAATGGGTATTTGATTGTACCCTGAATATCCATCTAAGAAGCAGTAACATCCACGCCCCATCACCTTCTCCAACATCTGATCAATGAAAGGAAGAGGGAAGTGATCCTTCCTTGTTGTATCATTGTTCTGGTAGGAATTAGCTCGTTGTCCTTGTTTTTTACCACCGTCATGCCCCCTTTTTTTTTCACAATCTTCACAGGGCTAATCCATTGACTGTCAGAGATGGAAAATATTATGCCTACATCCAGCAATTTGAGTATCTCTTTTTGAACCACCTCCTCAAGATTTTTGTTCAATTTGCACTGGGGTTGCACCACTGGTTTACTCCCTTCTTCTAATAGGATCTTGTGCATGCAGATTCCAGGGCTGATCCCCTGAATATCGGCTATACTCCAACTTATTACCTTTTTATTCTTCTGTAGTAACTCCACAAGCATGTGTTCTTGTTCGGGAGTACGTTTAATTCCAGCTTCGGCTTACTCTTTTCTTTCTCGAATTCTTCTTCATTTACCACCTGGTTCTCATCTTCCAGCTCCTCAACTTCCTTCTTGATCTCAGGATCTTCATCCTCTGTTGTGCTTGATTGACTAATGCATATCTCTAGTGCAGGGCTATGCTTAATTTGGTAAATACCGAATTACCGTACCGAAACCAAAAATTTTGGTATTTGGTATTCGATATTTTGGTATTCGGTATGGTATTTGGTTTAAGTTTTTTTTTAAAATTGATATTAGGTATGGTATTTGGTATTTTAAAATGAAATACCGAAATACCGATACTATACCGAAATATATATTATATTACACAATACACTTTTTATTAATTATAACATAAGTATAAGAAATCTAAAATTTTACTTTTCTTTATTCTTTAAGTTCACCAATTAACTCTAAACAAGTAACAAGATATTTCTCTAAGTTTTCTCTCTCTAGGTTTGTATATGTTGGTTTTGGACAAAACTTTTGTCAACAAATGTTTGTCGTTTTGTACTTCTGAGTACTTTAGTTAAGAATATTACCGTCTATGACTCTATGCACTAGTTAGTATTCAAACCGAATAGACCAAAGTTACCGAACTGCATAAATCAAAACCGAAAGGAGAAAAACCGAACCATACTTAATTTAATTAGGTACAGTATTGGTATAGTATTTTACGAAATTGAATACCGAAAATAACGAACCGAAATATCTAAATATCATACTGTACCGACCGACGAACACCCCTACTCTAGTGAGTCACCTACCAGCTTATCCATTTTGTGTTGTTCAGCTAACTCTTCCACCACATCTAGTTTGAGACAAGCATAGGAAGATGCCTCATCACATGGGTATTTCATCATTCTTTTCATTTGAACAAGCACTTTTTCATTTCCTACTCGTAGCATGAGTTTCCTCTCATATATATCAAGAATAGCCCGGCCAGTGCAAAGGAATGGTCTTCCTAGGATTAGAGGTACCTCCTTATTTACTTCCATATCTACCACAATGAAGTCTACTGGTAAAATAAATTTGTCTACCCTTACCAGAATGTCCTCAATTATGCCCTCCGGTATAATCGAGGTCTGATTAGCCAGTTGCAAGGATACTGGCACAAATTTGATCACTCCTAGCTCTCCTTCCAATTTCTTGAACATCGATACTGGAATTAAGTTATGGATGCACCTGAATCGCACAAGGCTTTGTCTAACCTTTCGCTACCCAATGAGCAGGGTATAGTGAAACTGTCAGGATCCCCACACTTCTTAGGAATTTTATTTTGTAGAGGCATTGCAGTGGGCATTGAGTTTGACCACTTTCGTTTCCTCGAGCTTCCTTTTGCTTGAGAGGATTCCCTTCAGGAATTTTGCATAAGCAGGCAACTGTGTGAGCACCTCCATGAACGGGATGTTCACATACAACTGTTTCAGCATCTCCAAGAATTTCCCGAAGTATTTGTCTAATTTCTCCCTCTTTATCTTTTGAGGAAAGGGTAACAATGGCATGTTCTTTCTTTCCTCAACTGTGTTTTTCACCTTCTTCTTGTCAATATCCTTGATGCTAACATTCTCTTTGGGCAAAGATTCACCGATTTTCTGTTCTTCAGCTATCTTGGTTGAGTTGATCTCCTTCTCATCCCTTGGTTTTGACTTTGGCTCTACTAATGTTTTCCCACTCCTGAGAGACATAACTTTGATTGTCTCTTTTGGATTCTTTTCAGTGTCTGCCGGCAAAGTCCCCGACACCCTTTCTGACAACAATATTGCAAGCTGCATCATTTGTCTCTCTAGATTCTGGATGGTTGTGCCTTTCTCCCTGATAGCGGTCCCTTGAGTCTCAAGTTGCTCATCAGATTTATTTATAAATGCTTTTATTAGATCTTCTAAACATGAGTTGTTGGAATGTGGAGGTTGGTATGGTTGCCTTTGTTGAGTTTGGAAACCAGACGGTCCTTGCACTGGTGCTATGGGATTTTGCTGCTGCCATGAGTTCAAACTACCAGTTGAAGAACTCCATGAGATCCCTCGATATATCTGTCCCATAGAATTGAAATTTCCACCTCTTTGGTAGTTGCATTTCTTAAAGTTCCCCACAATGTTGACTTCTTCAACTGTAGCTTGACACTCATGTGTCGGGTGTCCCAATCCACAGATGTCACATCCAACTTGTGGTTGATTTTGCACCTGAGCTATCGTCAGTTGCTTGATGTCCTTAGCCATAGTTGCAATTTGGGCCTGTATTGCTACCGATGATTCTACTTGTTGCACCCCTGCTGATCTTCTTCGGTCCCCTTGATCAGTGGACCATTGTTCTACATCTTCAGATAGTTCATTCAGAAGAGTGACAATCTCTTCAGGAGTTTTCTTCATCAGAGGACCTGCAACCGCACTATTCAGCAATCTCCTTGATGACGGGTTTAAACCGTCCCAGAAGTCATGGAGTTACATCCATTGCTCCATTCCGTTATGAGGGCACCTTCGCAATAGCTCCTAAAATCTTTCCCATGCCTCGAACACTGTCTCCTCTTCACCTTGGCTGAAGTTATGAATCACTTTCCTCATTCGTCCAGTCTTAGCGGTAGAGAAATATTTTTCTAAGAACTTGATAGTCATTTCCCCCCATGTACGGATTGACTCTGTGGGAAGACTTCTCAACCACTACTTTGCATCATCCTTAAGAGATAACGGGAACTCTTTGAGGTAGATAGCATCATGTGATGCTCCATTGTAACGGAATGTGTTCATAATTTTGTCGAAGTCTATCAGATGGTTGTTGGGATCTTCGTTGGGTTTCCCTCTCAATATGCAATTATTCTGAATGGTCTGGATGACTCCCTGTTTGATTTCAAAATTATTGGCATCAATGGGTGGGGGTTTTACACTAGACTATTATTGATTGTACACCGGGCTGGCATAATCTCCTAGCGACCTCCCAGTTCTAGGATCTACATTTTCAAATTCATCATCGATCATGTTTTGATTGGTATTGAACCTTCACTCCCCGTCGACCGTTTCATCCGCAATTCTACGGGCTACTTCAGCTGCTAACCGTGCTTCCTGTTTCTGAGTTGCCTCTCTTGCAGCTAGGTCCACTACCTCTTCGTTGTTCACCATTGTATTTTGAGTTGAAGGCTGACCCAATAACAATCCACTCGATCCTTTCTCTCTTCTCAACAGCCTTAGGTGCTTGTCTAACTCTGGGTCATATGGCACCAAGTCCTTTGAAGAGGATCGAGTCATACACCGTTGAACTTAACATGTTGCCTGCACACAGATGAGAAGAGCATAAAAAAGGAAAATAAAATAAATGTGTTCCTTAATTAGCACTGAAAATCAATTTAAATACTATTAATTTCCAATCCCCAGCAACGACGCCAAAATTTGACGAGCACAAAACCAATGTATAAAACTTAGGTTCGCTAGTCAAAGATATTAAATCGTCTCCATAGGGATTGGTTTAAATAATATTCTAATAAATCTTTAGCTCAACAGTATCCAGGATAATAAACCTTTGATTGATGCTATTATCGACTACTAATAAAACTAATATTATCTATTGTAAGAAACTAAAGGCACTTTAATGACTAAATAGCAACTACTGAAGAACAAGGTGAGAAATAAGGGTTGTGACAAGATACGTGATCAACTATTATTGCGGGTAACTATGTGTTACGTTCACTCTTAACTTCTATTAACTCATTTGATTTCAACAGATGATTAGGCTACCTTAGGTATTCGAATTCTTGTTTCGAATGCAAAAATACAGTGAATGAATGATCCTTCGAAGAACACCTCTCGATTATTCTTCTAAATTGGGTTAATTGATAACTCTCTAAAATCCTTCGATTACCTAGAAAAGGCGTAAAATTAACCCACACAATGTAGCACAATGCAAATTGCAGCAACACTTCACTTTCATCTAAAGTAAAACTACAAGAAGCCTTGCAATTTAATTAATAGCTCATTCAATGAATTTGGGCAATTAACAGAGAATAAAACCCAAAACCATAGTCAAATCACAACATCTGTAAATAACCCTAAGAAAGATTACTCCATGGTGGAGAATTTATTCATCACAAGAGCATTAGAAGAACAAGAAGACATTACGATTCCCAAAATCAAACAAACTTCCGTATTGAATGAATTGGATCTAGTGTTTTGCTTTTCCGTTGCTTACTTCTGTCTTCTCTCCCCAAATGTTGCTCTCCAAATCAAAGATCCCCTCTTTTTAGATGATCTGGGCTTCATATAGGTCAAGAGGAGTCACCTCTGAAATTAAAAAAATAGGCTTAGGAAAGTTTCCGGACTGGACGTGTGCGGTCGCGCACCTGGGCAGGTGATCGCGCATATGGCCGCGCACTTTGGAAAGTGTTCTACTGTACTTGCACGCCTAGTGCGCGCTCTGCACCTGGGTGGCTTCCTGCTCAATTCTTGTTTCTCTCGTTAAGTGCACTATTCTCAGTTGATCCTCGAACACGATCCCAACTAAATCCATGGGCTTTTACTTAGGTTTCAAAGCCCCGGAATAGCTCGAATTAGCTAAACAACCTCGTCGTAACTCGAAATCTCTCCTACAAAACATAAAATACACACTCGGTGTAAAATAATACTATTTAAAGCTCAAACACTAGTAAAGTGCAAGAAATTAGAGTGCAATTGATGGCCAAAATACGCAATTACAGCCTACCATCAAGCATGTTTCCGAAGAGCTGCCACTTGCTTCCCTTCCGGCGTTGTCAGTTACACCTATTGTTAACCCCCCATGTTTCCTTGCCTAGAGTTTCCCCAATGGTTGCCCCCAATGATGTTCCTCATGTAGAAGCTGAGACTTCTAGTAGCAGGTGGGGTATGAAAAAAGTTATGATTGAAGTCCTCGATGGTGGAAATTTATTAAAAAAATTTGGACAAGCTGATGTGTGGCTGAAACCGTTACTAGGACCCGTGGAAAAGAAAACATTGGAGGGTCACAGTTCTTTGACTTTGATGAATGACATCATTCACTCTTCACTTAAGGTATATTTTTACCTATCTTCTATTCTTTTCTTTCTTCTCATTCGTAACTTTTCTCCTTTTCTCTTTTTGTAGATTAATTTGAGAGGTACAGAGCTCATGAAAAGGATTTCATGGACTGACCAACAGGTAATTGAGTTACATACTGAGGCTGGCAACTGTAAAGAACAATTTGAAGGCCTTAAGTTGGAGAAAGACATAGGAGAAAGGAGATTTGGAGCAACAACTGAGGATGGTCTCCGCTGAGTTAGCGGTTTTAAAAGCTTCTTCCAGTCGATAGACTGGAATTTTCTTTTGCTAAACAACATTCCAAGACTACTAAAGAGATAAGGAGTTTGAAAGAACTCCTTAATCAAAAAGAGGTTTACGCAGGTGATCTGGTGCAGATGATTACCCAAGCTCAAGAAGATCTTTGTGCCTCTACAAATAAGATTTAGTTCCTTGAAAGTTCTCTTGCTCCTTTGAAGATAGCTTATGAAGCCTACGAGGCAGAAAAAGAAGAATTGAAAGCTGAAATTGAGCAAGGGGAGAAGGATTATGAAGCCCTCGAAGATAAGTCATCACTTGATGTTAGCTGGGCTTTTTTGAACACCCGCTTCGAGACTTTAACTGAAGCCAGCCAGGAAGGTTTTGACTTTAATTCTGAGATTTTGAAAGCTAAAGAAACAATTGAATAGACTCAACAACGTCAAATCTTCTCTACACCCGAGGACGGTGGTTCTAAGGGTGACAGAGATAGACTTGCTCCTGGTGAAGTCGATGTTCAACCTTTTTCTCCTCAAGTTGATCCTTCTTCCCCCATAGATGATGCTCCTTAGCTCTCCCCTTTTCCGATTTTTTATCGGAAGTGTTTGTTTGTTGGTTTTTGATTGGAATTCCCTTGTGTTTTTTGGACAAAATTTGGAAGGTTTTACCTCCCCTGCCTTTTTTGGGATAATGATATAAATATCTTTACTGCACTTGCCGCATATTATGCTTTTTGCTCTTTAATTTTTGAGCTTTATTCTTGTATTTAAAATGCTTTAATAGACCGTGACTTCAAAATGCATGAGCTTTCATAAAAGAGGGCCCTTTTATGTTAACGACACTGATGAAGATGACGTCTCATCTTCATATCAGTGCAAAGATATGAAACATGAAGTAGATACGAAACAAAAAGTAATTTGAGGAAGCTTTATTTTTTGAACTCTCAAATAAGTAAGTTGTACATCGTTTTCATAAATATCCGTACAACATTTTCATAACCGCTTTCATTGTAGCAGGTTTACAAATTCAAGTATGTCTTTCCGCGCCTTAACCTAGAAGCTCGTGGGAATATCTTGCATTCCTTTTTGCGAGTTTGAACACCTTTTAAATTTTGTTTGAAAATCTTCAAGGGTTTCTTCAAGGTTTCGATTCATGCTGAACTATGCCCTTGATATACATCTTCCTTCCTTGTGTACCCTTCTATATGCATAGTCCCCCCAGTGTTGAAGTATGAAATCTCAATGACTGGATCAAATACAAATGGGACTCGAAGGTAATTTTTTAGATGATGACTGGATAACCTTTTTTCTATCAGAAAATTTATAACCTAGACCAGGAATAATTTAGTATTCCGCATGTCTTTCAGGTCTAATATCATTATTTAGTATCAACCAGCTTTTTTTCTATCATCTAAAATGGTTAGTAAAATTCAAATGAACAAAATAAAATTAAACTTGCATGGTACCTGGCCGTGGGTATTAACCTCGTTTAGAAGTAATACTTCTTCATATGGACTGCATTCCAATTTGATGGTAACACCTTGCCATCCATAGTTTCCAATTTATATGCTCCTTTTCCAGCAATGCCTCTAACCCTATTCCTTCCCAATTTGGACTCAACTTTCCTGCGTTTGCCGCTTTTATTGACCAGAACACCTTTTGAGGACGAAGTCCCCAATATTGAAATACCTCAAATTGGCTTTCCTGTTATAATATCGTTCAATCATATGTTTTTAAGCCGACATTCTAATTAGTGTTGCTTCTCTCTTTTCTTCTGTCAAATCCAAATTTACCAGTAACTCTTCCTCATCTTTTGCTTCAGTAGTATGCGTGTACCACATGCTTGGTTCACCTATCTCCACCGGAATCAAAGCTTATGTTCCGTATACAAGTGAAAATGAAGTCTCACCCGTACTAGTTTCTGTCGTTGTTCGGTAAGCCCATAGTATCCCTGGTATTACTTCTAGCCATTTGCCATTTGATTTTTCCAATCATTTTTTAAGTTATTGGTGATAACCGTATTTGTCAACTCAGCTTGTCCATTGGCCTCTAGGTGATAAGGTACGGAAGTAATTCATTTAATCGGCCAACTTTGGAAGAATTTGATGAATTTCG